CCTAAGTATTCTCCTCCTAAACGATGAACCTCACACAGAGAAGGTGGCATGTTCTGCAGCTTGTGGTTCCTACTGTACAGGACAGTCCTGGGCAAAATAGGACCAGGGGCAGGATCGAGCCCGCCAAGCCTCAGGCAGATTCCCTGCTTGCCCCGCCCCCTTCTGCATGCTGCTCAGAAAAGTGGCTGCCAAGCCATTTGTGTTTCACAGCTGTGGGGTGGGCGTCAAGCGCTGGCACTGCTCCCAGTGCCTGCTCTGAAATGCACAAGATTCCCCAGCAGGGGCTCTTGTGCATTTCAAAGCCATGGAGCTCAGTCTCTCGCTGACCCCGGGCTCCATGCTACACTGCATGGGGCTAGGAGTCCGGGGTCAGCTGGGGAGTCCCCAGCTGACCCTGGCACTTCCCCGGAACCCGGGATCAGCTGGGTCTGTACAGGACAGGCCGCGGGGAACCCAGGATGAGCTGGGGAGTCCCCAGCTGACCCAGGCTCCATGGCTGGCCTTTTGAAAGGCACAGAGGTGGCATTTTAAAGGGGCAGCCCACCGCACAGATGACCCGCAGATCAGCTGTGCAGTGGCTGCCCCTTTAAAATGCCACATTCGGGTTTCAAAGTGTGGTGCTGCCACTTTAAAGTACCCCTTCCCTCCCCCCTTTGCTGCCTCTATCTAGAGGCAGCGAGGGGGAGCAGGGGGCAAGAGATATGACTAGTCAAAATACTATCCAGTAAGCAAATCGGATAGTCGACTAGTCTTTTAAATCGTTACTTTGAAGTGTAGCAATAGCCCCAGGGCTGTTGCTACACTTGAAAGATGCAAGTTCTGCAGGGAGCACAGGACCAGCGGGGGATTCGAGCAGTCCCCCACTGGTCCCATGCTCCCTGTGGTGTTTCAAAGTGGCAGCACAGCATGGAGCCCAGGGGTCAGGCTCCATGTGGCATTTCAAAGTGGCAGCACTGCATGGAGCCCAGGATCAGTGGGAAGGTGCAGCACAGCATGGAGCCCAGGGGTCAGGCTCCATGTGGCATTTCAAAGTGGCAGCACTGCATGGAGCCCAGGATCAGTGGGGGAGTCCCCAGTTGGCCCCAGGCTTCAAGCGGCGCTGTCGCTTTAAAATGCCGCACTCAGACTGGGACAGCTGGGGACTCCCAGCTGGCCATGGGCTGCACACAGCATTTCAAAGTGGCAGACCTCAAGCTCTACACAGCGCTGCTGCTTTGAAGCACTGCTCCTCTTCCCTTCCCCCCTTGCTGCCTCTATCAGAAAGAGGCAGCAAGGGCAGGAGGAAGCGACTAGCTGATTAGTGCGTCGATTATCCGATAAGCATCTGCTTATCGGATAGTCAACTAGTTGTTCACATCCCTAATTGTGACCTGGGCCTGGGGTTTGTGGTGCAGGATCTGGAGGGAATACGGGTGCAGGAGAGGGACAGAGGGTTTACATAAGAACATGAGAATGGCCGTACTGGGTCAGACCAAAGGTCCATCTAGCCCAGTAGCCTGTCTGCTGACAGTGGCCAACGCCAAGCGCCCCGGAGGGGGTGGACCGAAGACAATGATCAAGCGATTTTTCTCTTCAGCATCTGACAAACAGAGGCCAGGGACACCATTCCTACTCCCTGGCTAATAGCTTTTTACGGACCTAACCTCCATGAATTTATCTAGCTTCTCTTTAAACTGTGTTATAGTTCTAACTTTCACAGCCTCCTCTGGCAAGGAGTTCCACAGGTTGACTATGAGCTGTGTGAAGAAGAACTTTCGCTTATTAGTTATAAATCTGCTACCCATTAATTTCATTTGGTGTCCTCTAGTCTCATATGGGACCCGTTCCAAATCCCTAATCATTTTAGTTGCCCTTTTCTGAACCCTTTCCAAGGCCAAAATATCTTTTTTGAGGTGAGGAGACCACATCTGTACACAGTATTCAAGATGTGGGCGTACCATAGTTTTATACAGGGGCAGTAAGATATTCTGGGTCTTATTTTCTATCCCTTTTCTAATAATTCCTAGCATCCTATTTGCCTTTTTGACCGCCGCTGCACTCTGTGTGGAAGTTTTCAGAGAACTGTCCATGATAACTCCAAGATCTCTTTCCTGATTTGTTGTAGCCAAATTAGCCCCCATCATACTGTACGTATAGTTGGGGTTATTTTTCCCGATGTGCATTACTTTACACTTATCCACATTAAATTTCATTTGCCATTTTGTTGCCCAATCACTCAGTTTGGTGAGATCTTCTTGAAGTCCCTCACAGTCTGTTTCTGTCTTGACTATCCTAAACAGTTTGGTATCATCTGCAAACTTTACTACCTCACTGCTTACCCCTTTCTCCAGATCATTTATAAATAAGTTGAAGAGGATTGGTCCCAGGACTGACCCTTGGGGTACACCACTATTTACCCCTCTCCATTCTGAAAATTTACCATTTATTTCTACCCTTTGTTTCCTGTCTTTTAACCAATTCTCAATCCATGAAAGGACCTTCCGTCTCATCCCATGACAATGTCATTTACACAAGAGCCTTTGGTGAGGGACTGTGTCGAGGGACTTTGTCAAAGGCTTTCTGAAAATCTAAGTATACTATATCTACTGGATCCCCCTTGTCCGCATGTTTGTTAACCCCTTCAAAGAACTCTAATAGATTAGCAAGACAGGATTTCCCTTTACAGAAACCATGTTGACTTTTGCCCAACAAATTATATTCTTCTACGTGCCTAACAATTTTATTCTTAACTATTGTTTCGACTAATTGTTTGGGTTATGTAGGGTAGGTGGCCAGGAGTGGGGGGGCCGAGGGTTGAGGGGCAGGTGTGGCTGAGGTGCCTGAGGCAGGCTCTGACTGGGAAACTGACTCCCTGCCTGCCCCACCCCCACACAGGCTGCAAGGCCCAGTGCATCTGTGATTAAGAGCTCAACGCAGCTTTTGTACATTTCAAAGGAGGAATGCGGAAGTGCCTATCAGCTAGACAATTAACCGCATTTTAACATCCTTACTTCAAAGGCAGAGGCACCCTTATCTGACTATTTGATTAGCCAATTAATCAAAATATTTCATCCCTAGTCACAATCCCCTCCTGCCTTAGGGCACAACCCAAATCCCTGCACCCCAATCCATTGCCCCAGGTCACAACCTATTCCTGGCCTAGGTCAAAACCCAAGCTCCTGTACTCACCCCTGCCCCCACAGTCCCTTGCCCTAGGTCATAACAGCCTCCTTCACCCAAACTTTCTCCCAGACCCCACACGTCCTCCTGTGCCCTAATCTCTTACCCCAAGTTCTTACCCTTACCCTTGAGCACCCGATCTCCATCCCAGACCCCGTGCCTCCTCCATGAATATCATGGAAGAGCGCAGTCCTTCCTTGACCACATTCCAAAATCTTGGAATGAACCCACATCAAAAAAATATTGCCCACCCCTGGTATATGGTCAAGTGGATAGCAAGTCAGCTATAATCCTCACTATTATCCTGGATAAATCTCATGAGGAATCTAATGGAGACTTCTCAAACAGAAAAACAGCAAGGGGAAGAAGAACCTTGCAGCTTAAGAAACAGGGACAATTTATCCATGATCATTTTGAAAGGTGTCAGACTTCCTACTGAAAAGTTAGAAGAGTTGCTATTTTCTGGGATTTTCATATGTGTTAAATTGGCTGTGTGGAAAACCTAAGCGAGGACAAGTTTTAAGGGGATTTGTTTGAGGGACAATTTATGCAAAAAAAGTGTAACATGAAGGGACAGTGTCAAATGCTTCACTACATTTCTAAATCAATAATCTTAATTTTCTAACAAAATGTTTTTCTTCTGTAAATTTAGATTATACTATTATAGTTATGCTTTGAACTCTAAAACATACATTTCACTAAAACTCACTCCATACCGTCTACGCACAAATCAGAAATATCATCAGATCCCTTGCACATGTACAGCCCGCATATAAAGAGGATACCTATTCTGTTTCGTGGCAGCACTACAATGATCTGAAATTAACAAAAGGTAGCACACAAAACATGCAACACAAGACTTTAAAGATATACAAGAATGCATTCTAATCCTGATCTTTCAAAATGCACATATCAACCATCTGTACCTTCCAGAAAGATATGGAATATGGAGCCTTTACACTACAGAATTATTGTTCGGTTTGAACTCCCATTCATTTGCTAGGCCAAGACGCCAGAATTTCAGCTGTTAGTAATTTGTGTGTGTGTCAATGACAAGGGGTTCAACAAACACAGCCTGCAGTACAAGTAAGAGAAGAGGCAGCACTGTTTTCACTTATGAAAAATGTTGTGGAAAACACTCTCATGTTCGTATATCAATTTTTTCCCAAAATATTTGAATCTTTGGGTGGTTAAAAGTTTTCTAAAATGGCTAATATTCTTAAAGTGTATAAGCAGGTTGTGTTTTGTTCAAGAGGAGCTGGCTGTTAAAGCAGCAGATTTATTCACATCATATCCACTAATCGGTACAAACTGAAGATCAGTAAAATGTGTTTTATATTAACTCCCACAAAGTTAGGTACTATGAATTATATTATAAACATAATTACACTGACTAATGTTACTCTATATAAGCCTTACCTTTTGCCGGCAATAATAACTTAAATAAAATTAACTTCTAAAATTTGTGTCTTAAAAGATCTAATTCACACTACATGTTTTAGATGTTATTCAAGTACTAAACAGATTTTAAAAAGTTAACAGTTTTTCATTCTCAACTATCTACCTAAAAAAAATAGGTCTAATTCTGCAATATTTTGCTACCAACTAATTGGCTGTTGACAATGCTTCAATACACCACCATAATATTAAGCCCTCAGTGATCAACTATACTTTTAAGCTGAAGAGTTCATAAAATTGGGCTAATCTTACTGCAAATATTAATAGAAGCATATGTCTGGTGGATATGGAGTGAAAATCTGCATCATATAAGGTTACCAACTGCTTTTTTTAAAGCTGTATTTTAAAAGCACACCTGGTACCTAGTAAATAAAGTTAAGGACCTGTTAAGAACTGCAGTGAAGAGTTTGTTCTTTACAGATTGCAGCAAGTCTGAGTTGAGGAAGTTCTGACAGATGCAAAATGTACACCTGTTGCAGGCGCACATACAGCGTAATCGGGCATGGCTGCGAAAACACACAGAAGGACACGAGTTCAGATCTTGCTCATTAAATCAGGCACACAGTACAGCTGTGCCAAACAAGAGATTTAGGATTAAATTAGGTACATCTGAAAGAGGAAAAGAAGGTCGGCAGGAGAGGCAAGGGTAGACTAAAGCTGTGCAGAATTCCAAGGCTAGATGTTTTAAGTGTAGATGACACACTGGCAAATGCCTCCTCCTACACAGATAAAAACTGCAAAACACAAACATTATGAAAAATGTCTGTTATATGTGTCTTCAGGAACAAAGTGTCAAACGTTTAATGAAATGTGTCTGCACAGCAATAGATAACACCCTCCTTTCAATCAAAGGAAAGGAAAGGAAAATTGAGGGAGCCACATTTTCTATCACTCAATAACAGAACACATTTTGTTTTATAAAGTGATACAAATACCCAATTTTTATATACTCCTTCCCCCGTAACCAATATACACACGATTGAAAATTAGGGAGGAATAAGGGATATTTATAAGAAACAAATACACAATGCCACACAGAGTTTTAAATGTCCTAAAATTCCAGCACTACCAAATAAACCAAAGTAAAAACAAATCAGGAGCCTTACTGATCTAATTCAAGATATTTCTATTATTAAAATTTAAACTGGTGGGTGAAGATAACATTATTTTAATATTAAAGCCAATGCTAGCTGTCATACTAGAATTCATCTGTTCTTTTATAACATATTTAGTTCACCACTGTGTATAAACTTCCACCTGCCAAATGAAGAATGTAAAGTATGCTTAGCAACAGAGCGAGATGCTTAGTGAGAAACAATGCAATCTTAAATGTATTAATTATGAAGTCTGACATACAAATTTGAACACCATGTAAAATATGTAATAGCTAATAAATTTGTGAAACAAAAAGATGCAAATTTTATTGATTACATGTCACACAAAGGCATTATTAACCAAAGAAACCTCAGTGCATTTCTAGGGAACTACTGTACAGATGACCAAAGCCCTCAGGTAAGTGAAGAACATGGAGATCTGGGAGATGGGTCAGAAACGGGAGGGAGTGTGGGCTATAATAGCAGAAAAAAAGGAGGGACAAGGCAGAACTGGGAGGCAAGGTCAAATCAGTATCTTAGATGCCTATATACAAATGCAAGAAGCAAGGGTAGTAAGCAGGAAGAACTTGAAGTGCTAATAAACAAACAACTGTGACATTGTTGGTATCACAGAGACTTGGTGGGATAATACACATGATTGGAATATTGGTATAGAAGGATACAGCTTACTCAGGAAGGATAGGCAGAGCTAAAAGGGAGGGGGTGTTGCCTTATATATAAAATGTACACACACTTGAACTGAGGTGGAGATGGACATAGGAACCAGATGTGTTGAGAGTCTCTGGGTTAAGTTAAAAGGGGCAAAAAACAAGAGTGATGTCATGCTAGGGGTCTACACTACAGACCACCTACTCAGGCAGAAAAGGTGGATGAGGATTTTTTTAAACAACTAACAAAATCATCCTAAAGTGCAGGATTTGGTGGTGATGGGAGACTTCAACTCTCCTGACATCTGTTGGGAAACTAACACAACAGGGCACAGACTATCCAATAAGTTCTTGGACTGCACTGGAGACAACTTTTTATTTCAGAAGGTTGAAAAAGCTACTGGGGGGAAGCTGTTCTAGATCTGATCTTAACAAATAGGACGGAGCTAGTTGAGAATCTAAAAGTGGAAGGCAGCTTGGGTGAAACGTAATCATGAAATCATAGAGTTCATGATTCTAAGGAAGGGTAGAAGGGAGAACAGCAAAATAGAGACAATGGATTTCAGGAAGGCAGATTTTGGTAAGCTCAGAGAGCTAGTAGGTAAAATCCCATGGGAAGCAAGACTAAGGGAAAAAACTGAAGAGAGTTGGCAATTTTTCAAAGGGACATTATTAAGGACCCAAAAGCAAGCTATTCTGCTGCGTAGGAAAGATTAGTAGTATAGCAAAAGACCGCCTTGGCTTAACCAGGAGATCTTGCATTATCTAAAAATAAAAAAGGAGTCATATAAAAAGTGGAAACAAGGACAAATTAAAAAGGATGAATATAAGCTTTTCTCCGGCAAAACCCCGAGCCGGAAAAAAGCAGCAGCCATGTTCATGCAAATGCCACAGGGGATATTTAAATCCCCCGCGGCATTTGCAATTCCGAAGTGTCTCATTAGCATCCCTTTTCCGGAAAAGGGTGCCAATGTAGACACAGCCTATATGTTGTGAATCAGGGTACTGAAACACTTAGGCTACGTCTACACTGCAGGCTTTTTGTGCAAGAACAAAATTTACAGTAAAGCATCGGAACAGGGCTTCTTGCACAAGAGTTATTCCTCTCCTCATGAGGAATAAGCCCTTTTGCGCAAGAGCTCTTGCACAAGAAGGCAGTGTGGATGGGCAACAGGGGTTACTTGTGCAAGAAACCCCTATGGCTAAAATGGCTGTCAGAGCTTTCTTGTGCAAGACAGCATCCACGCTGCCATGGAGGCTCCTGCGTAAAAGCACATGGCAATGTGGATGTGTTCTTGCGCAAGAACCTGCCAGTGTAGGCAAAGTCAGAAGGTCCAGGGTCTGTTCCTTGAGCTTCGAGAGACACTGGGTGAAGGGGGAAGGTGATAAGAAACTTTCAAAATGGAGGCAGGAGCCTGAATCTCATTGTGCTCCAGCCAGCCTCAGGCCCCTCAGAAAAGGGGTCTGAAGTAAAACTTCTACAAGTGATTAGTAATTTGCAGGGGGATGTCTCAGGGGGCTGATTTTCTGCTGCCACCTGCCAATCAGGGCCACTTATGGTGTTGTGGGTGAGAAAATACCAGGCAATTTGGAAAATAATTTAGGCTCCTACATCGGATGCTTTGGCAGCTCTACCCCTCAGCCTGTGTGTGCCTCTGTTTTCCTTTTCTATGCACCTCACTTCTATGCATAGAGAGTACACTTATTAAGTTTGCAGAGGATACCAAGCTGGGAGGGGTTGCGACTGCTTTGGAGGATAGAGTCATAATTCAAACTGATCTGGACAAACTGGAGAAATGGTCTGAGGTAAATAGGATGAAGTTTAATAAGGACTAATGCAAAGTACTCCACTTAGGGAGGAACAACCCATTTCACACATACAGAATGGGAAGCGACTGTCTAGGAAGGAGTACTGCAGAAAGGAATCTAGGGGTCATAGTGGACTACAAGCTAAATATGAGTCAACAGTGTGACAGTGCTGCTGCTGCTGCAAAAAAAAAAAACAAAAAAAAAAACAACCAACAACCATGATTCTGGAATTCATTAACAGGAGTGTTGTGAGCAAGACACGAGAAGTCTTTCTTCCGCTCTACTCTGCATTGATTAGGCCTCAATTTGAGTTTTGTGTCCAGTACTGGGCACCACATTTCAAGAAAGATGTGGAGAAATTGGAGAAGGTCCAGAGAAGAGCAACAAGAATGATTAAATGTCTAAAGAACATGATCTGTGAGGGAAGACTGAAATAATTGAGGTTGTTTAGTTTGGAAAGGAGAAGACTGAGAGGGGACAAGATAGTTGTTTTGAGGTATCTAAAAGGATGTCACAAGGAGGAGGGAGAAAAATTATTCTCCTTAGCCTCTGAGGATAGGACAAGAAGCAACAGGCTTAAACTGCAGCAAGGGAAACTTAGGCTGGACATTAGGAAAAACTTCCTGTCAGGGTGGTTAAACACTGGAATAAATTGCCTAAGGAGGTTGTGGAATCTCTGGAGATATTTAAGAGCAGGTTAGATAGACATCTATCAGGTATAGTCTAGACAACATTGGGTCCTGCTGCAAGGGCAGGATACTGGACTTGATGACCTCTCAAGATCCCTTCCAGTTCTAGTGTTCTATGATTCTATGGAACTATTAATCCTAATTATCTATGGACCTGAACTGCAATAATTGTCAGGTAAGTCATTTATTTTTGTATAACTCTGACTGAAAATATTAGCAAGAAGGACTGAGTCATTCATCTCAACAATTACTTTCATCATTTTAAACAAGTAGGGAACACCGTGAATGTTTAATTAGGTGAATATTTAAGATATATTTCTATATTGAATTGCTAGAAATACATGATGATTTTAGTGTTTTAACAGAACATGGATATGTATCTCATTGCTAAGGGTTATAAAAACTGCACCATGTTGTGTCAGTTCATCAAATATTGATTACCATTTGGTATGTAAGAAAACAGAAAAATACTCAATGTGATATTCCTATTTACATGATATATGGCTGTAGTTTCAGTGACTTTCAGTCTTAAATAATCTCCCAGGAAGGCACTGCTTACATTATTGCTTTTAGACTCATACATATAGTAAGACAGCGACATAACCAAAAGCCACCATTAGTGTCCAGAGTTCTGTATCTAAACACGGACGTAAAAGTTCTGAGCACCCCCAATTCAGTAAGAACTGTGGGTGCTCAGTACCTTTGAAACTCAGATGCATATATTAACTTAATGGCAATCACTAGTTACTGTTAAGCCATTTTTTAATAATTGTACATTATATTAAACTCACTACAGTAGTAGTTATGGCATATGGAAGTCTAGTCTCTTCTGCATACTCTCACAGCTCCCCGCTGACAATGATTAACAGTAATGAGTTATGCAAGCATACATGAAGGGAGAACAGAACTTTGTCTGTATTGGATTAACGGAACCTTCTAAATCACGGATATCACTAATATCTCTCTCTGTTGCTAAACAACTTAAATGAGGCAGAGTTCCATCCTCTTAGCTAAGAATGACATGCAGTGTTGTCATGATCCATGCAGTATGAAAACTATGATGCTTGACTACTTACGGATACATGGCCATTGTTGTCAGTTTAACAAAGATATCCTTACTCGGCATATCGACAGTGTTACAAGTAAAGGCTTGTGGTGGAGGCATTTTGTGTTTCTTGCAGAAGTCAGCAGGGGAAATGGTATATTCTTGTTTCACTTCATGTAGGTCTGACTTTGCAGCTACCACTAAGCAAGGTATTCTGCTGTCCACAAAATGTTGCTGCAAATTTAAAGAAAAATATTGAGACAAACAGGAGTTCACGTGTTCAAACAATTTGGAACTGCCTATTAGTGTTTCTTGTGGCAACATCAAGCATTCAAAGGCTTAGCTCTAGAAGCAGAATGCTCTGCACAGGCAGCTAAACCATAGCCAGGCCTTAGTAACACAGAAGCCCATCAAAGCGCCTACTGCAATTTTAAATGCATCAGCTGCATATAACCATCAATCAGGCAGGAAGTATATGCACTTTGGCACCCAGCTAAGACCGTTAGCAATGCTGATAACTGAACATGAACATTTATTTTCATTCTGGTTAAGCAGTGTAATGAGATACATACAAAAGATCCAAACCTTAAAAATCCTAGCACAGTATTCAAAGGATTTAGGATTACTGACATCATACACCAAGCAAACAGCATCACATAATGTCTCGGCATCAGTTAAAAATTCAGATTCACTAACATCATGTAGCTGAAAAAGGAGGAAAAAAGCTTTAGCATTATGAAATTAATTGCACGGCTTTCTGGTTTCTTTCTTTTTTATTTTCATTTTCTATCAAGTTTCTTCAAGCTCAAAATACTGAGACTGTACCAAAGCTAGCACATAACCAGGTATCATCACATCTGCAAGCAACCAAAATAGTCTCAGCATAAAGAAATATTTGCTTATACCACATTAGAAGACTTACCCAGAGTTGCCTAGGTCCTCCAGGGCACAGGGCTAGTGGTGTGAGGGATACAGGAGTCATGGCAGGGCCTTGGGGATGTGGAGAACTCAGGACAGGAAGCGGGGGGCATGAGGGGCTAGGTGAGGGTTGGAGAGTAAGGAGGGGCTCAAGGCAAGGGTTGCTGCTGGCTTCTCTTGGGGGGGAGGAGATGCAGGGTAGCAGGGACCGCACAACCCGTCCACTGGCTTATCACTAGAGGCCAGCCAGGGCTCTCCTTCCCCCTGGGCTTGGCCCCTCCCAGGGTGGGACGGGGAGTGGCAGAAGCTGTCTCCCAGACAGGGGAACCCTGATCTGGTGGCCCGCAAAATAGCAGAGGCCCAGCCCTGCTGGCGATTTCCTTAGTAATACGTCTGCTCCTAATAGACACACTCAAATCGCATCCCTTTGAACAGCAGCTCCTCCCTTTGCATGTTATGGAAAACTGTCCTTTTCTCCAGGCCTCCGGTTCACCTAGCACAGCCAAACTTTGACCTTGCTTTCAGTTACGAGGAGAAGCTACGTACCAAATTTGATGGCCCTAGCTCTTATAATATAGGAGGAGTTCTGGAACAAATGCACTTGCAGGCAGACACTCAAAAAGACACACACACACTCTAAAATATATAAATAGATAATGCCTTGTATGCCCATTCAATCTTGTTCTCATCTTAAGTGTCAAAACCACTGATACAAGGACTAACAAGAACTTGCAAAACAAAGGGAGCATTCCAATTACGACTAATGAACTACCTTAAAACAAATGTTAAAGTATATTTCCAGTCTTCACAGACCTTCACCTATTGAAGATTATTAATTTATCCTAAGCATTAATATGTTTTAGGACAAAAAAGGGCTAACAACTCTCACCCATCAGAAAGGTTCATTTTGTAACGAGGTAAATTCCTTGCTATATTTCTCCCTTCTATTATATCTCATGTTGGAATCTCTCCAAATATGTGAACAGACCCAAAGAGAAAACATACTTTAGAAATGGTCAGGTGTATTTTCTAGAGCCTAAGTTCTGCAAAGTCTCTTAACACAGCATAGACCACAAAGCGTGTTTAGGGGCAGAGAAAATGATGATAGCTAGGCTGAGGATCAAATCTTAATTTTCCTAAAAACCAGAGCACACTTCTTATAGAGCTAATAAGTATAGTCACTTCTTCTCTAGCACTGACCCTTCAGTTATAAGAATCAGACTGAACATCGTCTCTCCTACATTACCGATGCTTACAAAGATAGGCGAGACCGTACTGAACGCAACTGACACTAAAACAGTTAAATACTGTTGCAATTTAGGGGAACCTAATAGAATGTGACTGGCCCCTCTTAACATTAAAACATTAAGAGAATTAGAAGATTTTTATTTATGCGTGCATTAGATTTGCAAAGTTGAATGTTTTCAAAATTATGTGTTGTGATAATTAGGATGTAACAATAGAATAGAAACCTTATTAAAAGTTGTCCAGCTAAATAAGTGCAATTAAGATATTCCCTCTGCATTTTTGGTACATTTTAAGTGCAGCTGCCAAAAATAAAATATTGCACAGTCAATAATTTACAGATTATATAAACTTAATTTTGCAAGCAGCTAGAAATATGTATTTAACACTCTTTGAAGTATTTAAATCTGAAAAAAGCACTCACAACCAGGGCAAAAGACAGCTAAATCCAAATGAGAAACAAATGCCTCAAGTAAACAGTCTTATGTATGCCAGTAATACAATTTGTTTTTAATTAACAGTGTGAGAGAGAGAGAGAGAGAGAGAGAGCGCACCATGATGTAGTCTTACCAGCAAGTATTTTTCTTGTCCATATACATAGACTGTATTCATCGCATAGTAAGATTTGTGCTCTGCGCGAATTTGCCTTTGTCTCTGAAAACAGAGAATTTAAAAGTCAGACCAAGAGTGGGCAAAATCCAACCCACCATGATCCTCTGGGCTGCCAATGTTCTGCAGCCCAGCAACGCCCTCGAGCAGATTCTCTGCCTGCCACACGCTGCTCAAAGAAGCCATCTGCTTGTACCAGCGTGTGTGTGTCTGAGCAGCACGTGCCCCTGGGAACCCACACAAACTGCCCCCGCCCCAGCACAATCCTCGTAGTTCTCATTGGCTGGATACTGACCAATGGGAGCTGCCTGGGCCGTACTTGCAGGCTCATGGCAATTCACAGCACCCCAGGCCCCTGGTGCACCATGAAGAGATGCACACACTGGCCCCAGCAGCTGGCCACGCAGGCAGGGAGCCAGCCCAAGGATACTACTGGACTGATGGCTAGGAGCCGCCAGGGGTAAGCCCCTCCTCACTAGAGTCTGCACCTGGGCACTCCACTGCCCCCCAAGTCACAACCCAAACCCTCTGCACCCCCATCCCTGGTCACAGCTCATTCCCAGACCCTGAACCCCCTCTTGCACCTCTTCACTAGGTCAGAATCCACTCCTTCACCCAAACTCTCTCCCAGACCCCGTACACCCTCCTGTACCCCAATCACCTCTCTGAGCTCCTTTCTGCACTCAACCTCCATCCTAGACCTTACACTCCCTCCATTAATATCACAGGAAGTGCAGCCCTTGACCACTTCCCAAATTCTTGGAGTCCTCCCCCCCCAAAAAAAAAATTATTGCCCATTGCTTGGTTAGACAAAAATCAACAGCAACTTCTTCCCTATACAAAATGTATTTAAATAAATATGCCCACTTAATATCAGAGAACTATGGTGAAGTCTTATGTTATGACGGCTTCATAGTGCTAGTAAACTCAAAGCTATAGTACATTTTGTCAGTAATGAAGTATCAAAGATTACAATAAAACTACTAGGCTACGTCTACACTGGCATGATTTTCCAGAAATGCTTTTAACGGAAAAGTTTTCCGTTAAAAGCATTTTCGGAAAAGCGCGTCTAGATTGGCAGAACGCTTTTCCGGAAAAGCACTTTTTCCGGAAAAGCATCCGCGGCCAATCTAGACACTTTTCCGCAAAAGCCCCGATTGTCATTTTCGCGATCGGGGCTTTTTTGCGGAAAACACTACTGTGCTGTCTACACTAGCCCTTTTCCGGAACAGTTTTCCGGAAAAAGACTTTTGCCCGAACGGGAGCAGCATAGTTTTTCCGGAAAAACACTGATGATTTTACATTAGATCGTCATTGCTTTTCTGGAAATTCAAGCGGCCAGTGTAGACAGCTGACAAGTTTTTCCGGAAAAGCGGCTGATTTTCCGGAATAACTTGCCAGTGTAGACACAGCCCTAATATAAAGGAAAATGAACAAAGCACATTTTGCAGTTATCTGCAATTGTCCTATCTGTTTACTTGATAATTTGTAAAATACTGCAATCCATAATGGGTCTCCCAAACTTTAGAGCTTACAGCTAAAGTTCTACGGCAGCTGCATACTGTTAACAGAATTTTGTTGCATAAACTTGACGCTTAATATTATTCAATTATAACTCTCATAAAAAGGAAAATGTTTCTTACCATTAGGCTTCTTCCAAGAAGTGCCTGGAGAACACCACTTTTCCCACAGCCTTTCATCCCAATAACATTACATCTGAACACATTCCTTTGAGTCTGCTTTTTCTGGAGGTCTATCTTTTTATCTCTAGTTACTTTAAAAAAAATAATTTTACAATTCCTACAGTAGGAACAATTAAATGACTTAATATTTGAAATGTCTGTAATTAAAATCTTTAATACTCCAATGGTACACATTCTTTAAAAAGTGAACAACATGCAAACTAATTCAATAGGAATTGAAATAGTTTTTTCATATAATGGTGTCTTTTAAGCCATGATATTTTACATATATACTTTTTACTTTTATAAACAAACTAGAACGTTCTCCAGGATATTCCTTTTCAAAATATGTCTGCATTTTAAGCAGAAACAAGAAAAAAAAAACACAGAGGACGTTTCAGTTAAACTCAATTTACTGCTTGGCAATTGGATGAGTGAAACTGATCTTTTAAAGTAAACTCCCAAACTGAGTTAAAAACATTCCGGATAATTACCTATAATTGCTGATGCTTGAGACTCTTGCTCTGTCAGTATTGAATAGCCTAAGTAGCCCAAGTACTCCAGGCAGCGCTGTACATCTAAGTATGTAGTTAATCTAAAGGAAAAAAAATGCCAAAACAACCATTCCTAACTGCCAACACCCAATTCCAAATTTCTATTCAAAGTGCTTGAGTCCCATGTAACATATCTGGCAAAAACTAAATGTTCTTTTGATGCCACACATTAATGAGAACACAAGTGTTTGAAAGTCAAACGGCCTCATTATATTAACAGAACGAACCCCTGACATTATGAAGGAAGTCCCTGCTATGATCTAACAAGTCTTTGTCAGGAGGAATTCAAGCAGAAGGCAGTAACATACTCTCAAATGAACTAATGTCAGCAAGACTGACAGACAAAAATCAAAAAACAATATGCATCCCTTAATTATTACTGTCACAGCAGCTGGTTAGTACAAAAAGTTAGTATTTCTGAAGACCTATTTTGAATACTATGTAGGCCACGTAGGAATAAATGTAGTGATTTCAGATTAGCCCCTTCAAGCAAGGATGCTCATATAAAAGTCACACCATAGAATTTAATATGACTGGTAATGTTTGGAGAGAAGAGTCTCAGGATAGGATAAGCAAGTGGCAGGATTCAGCTGGACGGAGATATACTGATAGAGGTAGGATAAGAGGATGGAAGAACCAAGACTGATATAGGCAGGGTGAGGAAAATCAGATTTGATTTACATTGGCTGGGCTGTATGGAGAAGCTTGCACATGTTTTCCCTGCTACACCTGACTCCAGTCAGATATATTAGTCTGTTGCTGACCTAGTAGAGCACCAAACAAACCCAACAAAATCAGCAATAGATATTTAAGTGAATTTCTCTACTGGTCAGATATGTAAAGATGGCAGATGTAAAAGTTCTGGAAAAAGAACTGCAAGTTTCTGAATCAACCAACAAAAAGGATTCAGACAAAATGAGTTAATGTGAACTTCTTCAACAGTCCTAGTGCACAGAGCTCCAGTTTATTGAGGAATTACCATTCTCTCCAGAGGTCAAGGTAATTCAACCTTCTTTCACATTAAGTCAGCCCGCCTCCCTTGGGAACACTGGTAGCTATGCCAAACGCGTGCAACAACTTTATAATGCAGACTAAACCCCATTAAGAGAGTAAACTGAAACTTCATTAGGGTATTTCAGGGAGAAACTCTGGCTCCAAATAAAGCATGTTTTCATAAATGGAAAGGACAATGTTTTACTGAGCAAGTAATTTAATACTGCAGTCACCATAGCAATAATCTTTCCTGTTCCCTTTAAAACAAGGGGGTAAGTAATTCTCTAACTCTGAGAATTACTACCAGTTCTCTGAACAGCAGTTACAACAGTCTCAGGAACTCATCTGTTAAGTAGATCTCCACATTTTGGCATAATATTTGCTATACATCTTTAAGCAGCAGCACTCCGCTGTTATATGTACAGATAATTAGATCTGAATGACATAAAAATAATTCACACCGTAAAACTATGGCATCTTAATTAGCATAGTTATTTTAAAGTATTCAATGAAGGAGATCACTGCCAACATTCATCAAAAAATTTTAAACTCTAGACTGATTTTTTTCAGTTACCTTACTAGATTGACCATTAATTTTAGCAAAAGATTTGCATAGAACATTTAGAACTACACAGATAAATGTTAAATAAAATAAAATAGGACTTCAAGAGATGTAATAACCCAGTGTTTCTCAAACAGTGGTATGAGTACCCTTAGAGGTACTTGAGAGAAGTCGGGAGGTATTGAGAGAAGTCTGGGGAGTAGAGTCAACACAACTGAAATTTGGAGAAAACTGAATTTTTGTTTTAAGTTTTACAGCGCTTTATTATTTTTGCACTTTTAATATCCAAAAATGTCATGCCCACCCAGCTACGATTAAGTTGTTTAAATGTGTTGCAATGGCAGAAAAAATTTGCATGTGTCTGAAAACTGTAGGTACTGGGGGTACTTTTTTTTTTTTAAAGGGGTACTTTATACAAAAAGGTTGGGAAACACTGTAATAACCTAACATAAGCCACTATAATGTCCTAACTTAACACTTGAAGCAACAGCAACACATAATCTACCATACTTACGTCCACTGAGAAAGAAACCCCTGGTATGTTATCCATCCCCTTTCATTTGTACACACGGTGTTGTTGACATCAGGTCCCCATGGCATATAAGGGAAGACTTTGAACAAATCTTTGAGTTCATCAGGGGACAAAGCACAATCTCTATCCTGGAAATATGCACATAGTTATATATCAGATATAAATAATCTCATCAAAATGTACTCACAACAGTAAAGTATTTCTTGCATGGGATCTGAATGGCCAGTGCAGCATTGGTTCCATAAAAACTATAGTAAGGACTTACTTTCAATAGGTGGGTTATTAGTTTTTAAAAGGATTCTCAGGATGTGTCTATACTAGAAAGGGTAAATATTCCACCAGTTTATGCCAATGCCTCTGCTAATATAATTGATACAGGTTTCCTGAACAAAATAAGCTATATAAATAAAGGCATCTTTTGCTGGTGTAATTGCTGTCGTGCACCCACCCATGCGTTCTGAAAATTGGCTTATGAATATAAATAACTCGATGCTTTATGCAAAACAGGTCTTGTAACATTTTTAAAGTTACACTCTGCTGAATCTGTATGGCCTATTTTTTCTGCATGTATCATTCCTGTGTGTGAAATTAGGAACATGAGGTTTGACTCTGGTTTTCATTCTAAATGTGCTAATAAGGATCAATTTAATGGCTCAAACCAATGACCCGTGAATGGTTTTATTTTTCCTGTAAGCTCAAAATGTAGTTGGCCCTAGAAAGACATAGAATACTAGAACTGGAAGGGCTCTCAAAAGGTCATCAAGTCCAGTCTTGCCATAAATGCAGGAGACCAAACACCATCTACTATCACTAACAGATGTTTGTCTAACCTGCTCTTAAAAATCTCCAATGACAGAGACACCACAACTTCCCTAGGGAATTTATTCCAGTGCTTAACCACTGCGACAGCTAGGAAGTTTTTCCTCATGTCCAACCTAAACCTCCCTCGCTACAATTTAAGCCCCTCACTCCATCGCTTTTTGTCCTGTCATCAGAGATTAAGGAGAATAACTTTTCTTCCTCCTTCTTGTAACACCTCTTTAGGTACTTGAAAGCTGTTATGTCCCCTCTCAGAATTCTTTTCCAGACTAAAACCCAATTTTTTCAATCTTCCCTCATAGATCACGTTTTCTAGACTTTTAATCATTTTTGTAGCTCTCCTTTGGACCTTCTCCAATTTCTCCACATCTTTCCTAAAATGTGGTGCCCAGAACTGGTCACAATATTCCAGTTGAGGCACAGTCAGCCCAGAGTGGAAGAATTCTCATGTCTTGCTCACAACACTCCTGTTAATGCATCCCAGAACCATGTTTGCTTTTTTTGTAACAGTAGCAGTCACACTGTTGACTCATACTTCACTTGTGTTCCACTCTGACCCCTAGATTCCTTTCTGCAGTACTCGTTCCTAGACAGTTACTTCCTGTTGTATGTATGTGAAATTGATTGTTCCTTCCTAAGTGGCGTACTTTGCATTTATCCTTATTGAATTTGACTTTCTTTACCTCAGACCATTTCTCCAGTTTGTCCAGATCATTTTGCATTATACTCTTATCCTCTAACACAGTTGCAACACTTCCCAGCTTGGTATCATCTGTTAACTTTATAAGCGTACTCTCTATGCCATTATCTAAATCAGCGATGGGCAACCAAGACTAGCGAGTGGGTCATTCATTTGACCCTCTTTCATCTAAGTGGGCTGCATAACCAGAGGTGGGGAACCTGTGGCATGCAGCCCACTGAGGTTCTACCTGCAGCCCATGCACCCCATCTGCCCCCTTCCGTCTCAGATAACCCACCTCTTGGGGAAGGAGAGATCAGTTTTTAAAAACATTCTCTGGGTTTGTATATACTAGAAAGGGTAAAAATATAAATCTCAGACTCGACACTTCTGGGATTCTTTTTTTTTTTTTTTTTTTAAGGGAACATTTTTTGAATTACATGACCATCCCCGAGATAAAATAATTTCCCCAGCCGGCCCGTAGCCAGCGGCTCCTGCAACGTGGCGGAGGGTTCACCGCTCACCGCACCATTCCCCGCTGAGTCCCCCTCGCTGGATGCCTTACCCCTTCTCCTTCGCCCCCGCTTGCAGGCCGGCAGCTGGGTTCCCCCAGCAAGCCCATCGCGGGCAGCTGTGTGGGGCTTCCCCCGCCTCCCTGCAAAGCAGCACAGGGTTTGCCGCTCGCTGCGCCGTTCCCCGGCGACCCCCCCTTGCCAGACACAGTGCAGGTCCCAGCAGACCCGTCACAGGGGCATACTCCCAACCCAATCCCCCTCCCCTCCCCTCTCCTTCTCCTGAGCCAAACACCTCCCCTCCCTGCTGTAACCCAGTCGCCTTTCTCCCCCAACCTTATGTCCCGGTCCCAACAGACACCAACGCTTGAAACGCAACCCCCACCTTTTCCATTATTTTCAATGGGAAAATTGACCCCGCATAACACGTTTTCCACTTAACACGATCATTTTCTGAAACATCTCTATAGTGTTAAATGAGGAATTACTGTCTTCCACCAGTTTATACTAGCGTATCAGTACCTCTGCCGATATCATTTATACTGGTTTCCTGAACAAAATAAGCTACATAGACAAAAGCACTCTCAGGCACTGGAGCCCAGCAATGCCTACTCCTGCCCTTCCCTCCCAGGACTTTTGGAGCACCATAAATCCAATGATTCATACACCATCCATGCTTCTCACCCTCCCTCCCAGAGCTTGAACAAGAATCAGAGGAAAGCTTCAACTGAGTTTTGTTCTGTTATTACTTGAGCTAACAAAGCACAGCCCCAGGAAGGAGACAAATTGGCAGCATGTTACCTGCTCACAGAACAATTTAACACAAGGAAGATGGCTTTCCCAATATAAAGTATTGATTTAGTTTCCTGTGCCACATTAAGGATTAACATTGGCTCCTAATTCTTTCTTTGGGTTTAAAAATTAATTTGGTACAGCTTCATAAACTTCAATCCAAACTTAATGGAAGGTACAAAAGATTCCTGGACATCAGGGGTGAATTTTGTTGATAAACATCCCATTGTACAGATCAAGACAAAAAGTTAAAATTTAGAGAACAATTAAAGCATCATATGAACACTACTTACGTCAGACTAATAGCTTACCAAATCATGCTTATCAAAAATGCTTTGGAGAAACAAATATGCATGGTGATTCAATTCTGTTGTGCAATCAGAAGGAATTTTCAACCTGTTTATTTAAAAAAAAAAAAAAAAAAGAACAAAAATTAGTCACATCTATTATATATTTGAGAGAGTGTCTGTCTGTTACTTCAGGAACGCCTCATAAATGGTAAGAGCTAAGACCATCAAATTTGGTATGCAGCTTCCTCTTATCATAACTTAAAGGTAACAGTTTGGTTGTGCAGGTGGTTGGGCAGAAGCTTCCCCACCCCTCCCCGATGCACATCGGTACACACATAAAACCCTATAGAAAAGAGACAATCACCAGGAAGGTGAAAGGGGCTGGCTGGAGAGCCACACACCCGTGTCTAGGACTGCTCCAGCTCTGAGCCTTCCACACCTCAAGTGCCCTTTAGGGAGGATGGGGGGCTGCAGCCCCCCAGTGTATAGGAGAACATTGCTGGCTGTTCCCCTTCATCAGGGAGTGTGGGGAAAATGCACAATTTGTTCCATTCCTCACTCTGGCTGGGGAGTGCAAGGGGCAGACGAACACGGACCTGTTCCAGCTGGGGTACATGTGCCCCTTCCCCAATTGCGCTCACTGGAGCTGCAGTGGCCATGAAGAGGCGCTTCTCACCTGGTTCCAAACTGCTGCGGTAAAAGAGGGCTGGGGTAGTCCTCTCTCCCCGGAACAGACTGCATACTGAACGCCTCAGCCCAGAACAATGATTCATATGAACAAAAACTAACTGAGATAAAGACCTAAGCAACACTGGGGTAAATCTTCTAGGAATAAATAATACAAGTCTTTCATGAAATAAATATGGGGAAAAAAGCATTTCAAGTTTTTGGCTTTACAATCAATTCCTTTTTTGTTTCTCAGAGAACACAGCAAGTACTGTTTACTAGGAGTTCTAAAATCATCTGTAATACAAAGCACTTTCAGATATCACAGGAAAAGCAGCAGCATTTTATGAAAGAAGGATGGGATAAAAAGAAAATAAGGGAATTAGGCAGCTAATTCCCTTAAGAGTCTCTGAAAAATCTCACCCTAAAGTTAAATGCCATAAAAAAGGCTGACTAGTTTTATAAACATCCCACTTGTAACTATGTGTGGTAAGAGAAGGACCGCACTGCACATTAAGCCGTCAGGACTGTCGGCTGGCCTGTAGGAAAAGATGTGAGGCCCCTTTAAGGCCTAAACAGCAGGAGCATAACTTGCTGCAGCAGCTTCAAACCAGGTCTCCAGGGACACTGATCCTCCCCTGCAGATGACCAGAAGGGAGCAGAGACTATTTAGGTCTATGCTGGTGGAGGAAAAGGCCTCTTTTACCTGGACCAGGTGGAGTAGTTCCCACCCATCAACCAATGGCTGTGGTTAAAAACCAGGTTTTGTCATGATCCACTGTGGGCATTGCATTAGTTGCTCTTTTCTCAAAGGACTGGGATGGGATTTTTTCCCTTCACCACCACATTGGCTGAGGCAAAGTGGATCCCGTCCCCCTCCCCCCCATGGGTAGGAGGCTTAGTTTGGGCAAACATAAAATGGGGGTTAGGACATAATGTCACAACTGATCATGGAAGTGTGGGGCAGATATCCAGTGCAGTTACTCTGTAAGGAAAGGATATAGTGATCAGATAAAATGGATTGGCAAAGGATTTAAAGGAGGTATTCTTTAAAGGAGTGGAAATGGGGGACTTGGGGATCCTATGACTGGGACAGTAAAGAGCCTGTCTTCTCCTTAACAGTCTCCTTTAACCCTCCTTCAGAAGGGAAGGTGGGAAATGAAGTCCAAGCAGCAGGTTGGCTGCAGACCAGGATGGCTGAAAGGAGAAGGCAGCCAGCAGCCTCCTCCTCCCACAGATACATGTAAAGGGCTGTGGAATTATCTGCCCTGCACACTTGTCTGGCAGGTGGTCCCTCCCATTTAGGAATAAAGCAGTGGCCTAATTAAGCCACAAGTGTCTCCCGTCCATTCTTCCAGCACAGTTGGACAAAGGATAGTTAGTCCTGTGTTCTGGTCATAAACCAATTGTAGTGATCATGGAAAGAATTTCCTCCTCCTGCCATTTGACTCTTATTGCACAACTGGCATTATCAGAAACAAAAGTTTGTTTTCCTCTGAAGAGTGAGGTATGGACTTCTGTGAGGGACAGCATTCTGAAGTGAAATGAACAGTGTCTAATCTGGTACTGCAAATCCTATCCCTCTGCTCTCCATATGCAACCCACAGTGAAAACTAGCAGACACTATGAAACCTAAGTTTAGATATTTCCACTAGAATACTGAAAGTGGAATTCCTTTATCCTTCTACTCTGTCAGTATAAAAAGGTATTAGTCTGCTCCAACACCCAAGGAAGGAATCGGAAAGAACTTCCATTGACTTCTGTGGGCACTGGCTTAGGCCCTTAATTCACAAGCATAATTGAAGTGACACAAATATCAAGAGATTACAGGAGGCCCCTGCTTTACAAGGGCCTGATTTATGACTCCTCCTACCCCCCCGTTCATACGACCTTTCCCATAAGTGCAGAAGAGGCCAAAATCCCCCAAGTTACGTCCTCAGCCCCGCATTTACGACAGCATACGACGCCTGTTGTAAATGCAGGCTCGAGTTACGACGCCCCAAACTTGCAACACTATCTCCGGAGCCAATCACGTCGCAAGTCGGGGGCAGCCTGTATTTCATATTATATACCCATAATGTGTTCATGTAAATGTAATCATTACTGACAAGACTGGGAGTTGTGTTTGTATAATACTAAACAGTGGGCTGATTTAGCAATCTCAAGGCATTAAATACACATTCCATGTAAAGTTAACATGTGAAAATTAACAACTGAAACATACGGAGGAAACAAATACTCTGGTGTGAGCTCTAAGTCGTCATCATATCCAAAGCGGCGTAATACTGTCCAAGTCGTTTCATGTCTTCCTCGCTGAATAAAAAGCGTGTGTAGAAAAAGAAAACCTGAAATTAAATGATAACTCTTAAGGCTTTGAAGCTTTTCATACATTTAGCATTTACATTTTTTTTACTGAATAAATATAACACACAAATACAAAATCCCAGTGCAGAATACATAAAATCTGAATGCATATATGACATTTTCTGTACCTTCAATTTGTACAAGTATAATACTTTTATAATTGGATTGCTAAAATTATTTCCTTAAAATTTGTTTCCTAAATTTTAGCATCAGCATTTTCATTATAGGGTTGGTTTCAATTTGTTTCATACTAAAAGTTTTTACACAATCTCCATTAAACATACAAAGAATGACAACCTTGGACAGTAGTTTCAGAGAAGCATGTATTAGTTTTCCTACACCAAAAGTCAAGGATAATTGCTTAAGTGCTTTCCATATCTTACCAAAAACTGAGATTATTCCTCCAGTTCAATCCATGCATGATTTATTAAGGCTGTCTAGATTAGGCTTTTCCCTCTATAATTTCTCACTTTTGGTGTCACAGTTGTAGCTACCACAGACAGTAGAAAAGATATTGCCTTTAATTTTTACCACTTGTTCTAAAAGGTCTATACAGCTGTCATTAAAATGATGGTGAGAAACCAATGCTAGTTTATATACATTAGCGCTCCCTCTACTGCAGCGATGGGCAATAATTCTTTGCCGGACTGCACCGGAAGGGCCGGGGCTGGGATACTTCCAGGTTCCCCGCCCCCAGACTATGACTGGTCTCAGGGTGGGGCAGCACCTTTGTCTGCCCGCCTCCCCCTTTCCCCTAGGTGCCTATGCCCCTGGCTGGGAGGAGACTTCCCATGCTCCCCCTCCCCCAGGCCAATCAGCGGCAGGGCCTCTGCGGGCCAGATCCACCCACTTGGTGAGCCGCATTCGGCCCACAGAGGCCCTTTTGCCCACCCCTGCTCTACTGAAACCAGTGAAATAGCCTACTCTAAATGGAAACAATAGAATTTGCCTGAGAGAATTTCTTTGAATCAGCACACTCAATTCAGACATTTTAGCCCCTTAAGCATTCTCCACATGAACTCCATTTCTTCTCCCCCATTATTCCTCAGTTTATCACCCTCAGAAATCATGCCACAGACAAGTTATGACTAGCTCTTGTGGCCCAGGGAGCAAGAAACTGAACTCGAATATCAATCACTTTCCTTTAAGAGATGATGCATAGACTTTTATTTTATATCAGCTTTAAATGTCGGTCTTCGAACAATACCTACCTTTTAATGTCAGTCCATTATCAGCAACTCCATCACTTAGATTTTTTCTGACTACATTCTTTACATCTTCTAATGCTTGAGGTGCTAGTGGTGTATTAAAACAAATTCTCTAACAAACAAGGAAAATGCATTAGGAACACGGATACTAAGTCAATCATACAGCATGTTCTGCTCAAAATGCAGCTCTAAAAGTTATGTTAATTTAACGGTATAGGCAATCCAAGCAAACTCTAAATGTAAGCAGAGCAGGCAGGACAGCTCCTTGCTCACTGGCACAGCTCTTGCCTAAGAGCAGAACAGGTCAGAGTATCTGTTACTTGCCTCAGTTTTCAAGTGTTTAAAGAAACTGAAATGCAAAACTGGGGATCCTAGGACTGTATTTAAACCTGCATTAGTTAGTGAAGATGGAATATGTAGAAAATAGAGATGTTCACAGGTAACCGGTTAACCAGTACCTGGGGAGCAGCGCCCGCTGCAGGTAGAGAGCTGCTCCAGCCCCACCAGACCCCTGCATAGGACTGCCAGCTCTGGGCCGGAAGTGGCAGCCAGTGAGGAAGTGGCTCCAGAAGCGGCAGCAGCCTTGCCTGCCCTGCACAAGTTGGAAGCCGACAGCCCCACAAAAGGCTGGAAACAGCTGGGCTGTTTCAAGAAAAGCGTTGCTAATTTCAGCTGAAAAACATAAGCTATTCAATTGAATTACCATCTTAGCAATAGCTAGCCACAGCAATGTGAATTCAGATTTGAAATGTTTTAACTCTGCATTTTAGTTCTTAGTTCTAAAACGTAAGGTTAAACGTAATTCCTTATCAGAAATGTTACACCCGAGTTTCGTCTTGGTCATTTTACTCCAGGGTCGTTGCATTGACAGCAGTGGAGTAACTCCTGATTTTACCAGTGTGAAAGAAGAATGAGACCCAGTATCTCATGCATATCAACAATACAAAGATGATTTATATATGGCAAGCTTTTGCACTAATCAAGGGAGGGAGTGCAAAGAGACGCCTGCCATTCCCTCTACAAGGCTAAAAGCACAATCCCAGTGGAGACACGGAAGATAACAGAATCCCAAGGGGAACATGGGCCTTCCCTAAATCCATGCCAACAGGAAGAATAGCTATGTGGTACTGGGCCACTGTTCAGCCTGGAATTCGAGGAGAAATGATGGCCAGGTCAGCATCTCCTCCAGTCCCAAAGTACATGGCAGCACCTTAAAAGGCACAAAGTAGCCAGTGATCAGTATAATAATTAAAAATGGGTATCGGAAAGTCACCAGTCAGCTCCACTTGCTCTGACAGTATTTTAGAGCTGAGCTACTAAGACAGACAAGTTAGGAAGTGATTAAAAAACAGTAGGGACCTACCTGGAAGAAGTTGAGCTCTGCATCACTGAGAGTGCCATCATTATCCTGATCAGAGACTCTGAAGATGCGTGTGAGAGCTTTTATACAGGCAGGTTTCATCTACAGATCAAGAGAAAAACTAGGACCCACTTTCAAAGGAATTTTTTTTGGCTTAAACTTGAAAATAATCATACTACCGCCACAACAGAGCACAGTTGTTTTAGATTTTCAGAATGGGCATGTAGAAAATTAACAACAAACAACAATACCCAGCACCAGTAAAAACTTTTATTCAGACTACATTAAGGAAGCTTAATAGAATTTACAAGTCAATTTTTGTATTATATAAAATCCTGAATCTATCCTTGCAGGCAGAAAAATCCAAAATATAAATACTCCAAAATAGTTCTCTGTATTTGTTGCCTTATTGTAATTTTAAAAACTAATCTGTGGACAGAAATTTGAAGAAAATAATTGTCCCAGCTTTTCCTAATATACATTGAGGTGCATTATACCAATGATTTTCACTTATAGTTTGGCGATCCAGGAGAGCAGGCTATATCTAAGAGGTCATGAAAGGTTCTTGTTACCATAGAACAGCATTTTTCAACCTGCAGTACACATACGAGGTCTAAGATTTCCATAGGGGTCTGTATCTCCATTTGAAATTTTTCAAGGGTCCGCAAATGAAAAAAAAGTTTATAACTGTTGTATTAGACTATTGCGCCCTTCCTCAGGTCCTACACAATCATCTTGAGTTCATAGACTATTGCGCCCTTCCTCAGGTCCTACACAATCATCTTTTAAATTATCAGCTTTTTAAGATAATACATTAATCCAGAAGAGGTTTAGAAAATATGACCTACAAGGAAAGGTTGAAAGAACTGGGCATGTTTAGTCTAGTGCAGTGTTTCTTAAACTTTTTAAGCCCCAGGAACACCAAACAATAACTTTTTTTATGAGAAACACCAAGGATTTTTTTGTTGAGGAAAAAAAAAGTGTCTAGTGCAAAGACAACTAGGGAAAACTCATGTTAAAGACTGCTATGAAAAGGATGGTGATCAATGTTTCTCCATGTCCACTGAAGATATGACAAGAAGTAATCAGTCTAATCTACAGCAATGGAGGTTTAGGTTGGCTATTAGGAAAAAAACCTTTCTAATTATAAGGATAGCTAAGCACTGGAACAGACTTCCAAGGGAGATTAGGAATCCCTGTCAGAGGAGGTTTTTAGGAACATGATAAAAACAGACATCATGGATCACCTAGGTAAATTTAATCCTACCTCAGCACTGCAGGATGAACTAAATGACCACTTAAGATTCCCTCTAACCCTATGTTTCTAATCCTAATTCTGACATTAAAGAATATTTATGTGATTAGAATAGAGAACAACCTTCTGTGTATCAATGAGGATACATTATTAAGATATCTTAAACAGATATTCTACCCCAAAAATGAAATTCAATTCAATGGCTCTAGAGCTACAGTGAAACAATACTGAACAGGCACCTGACCTATATTTAACTGGTTTAAGCAAGGTTTCAGAAAGAGCCTTGGAGCCAATAACAGCAATTTTAACAGTCCGCTCTCATCTATACACAGAGCACTGTGCATATGGACCAACAGCATGGGAGAGGAAACGCTGACGAGTCCCTAGCCAGGTGCAAAAACAGAAAGAGGGGGAATTTCCTCGCAATACGATGGTAAGGGAAAAAGGAGAGAGAAAAGTTCTCCAACTACCAACCACAAAACAGTGAGGAAGAAAGAAAAGGAATGACAATACTAATTGCACAATGGTGATACAATGACACTACACAACAGCAGTAAACAAAATCAGGATGTGCAAAGTCAGGCTGCGATTGTTTTGTGGCTTTCTATTACTCAATGGTCAAGATGAAGTGACAATGTACAATAAGTGATAAATTCAGTGCCCCTGTTAATGGCTACCTATATTATAGCTATCAAAATCCACATGCACCCAGGTAACCTATAGAACTAGTATACTAAGAAACTGTCACTAGAACAGTAAAAAATGCACTCATGTTTCTGAATCTCTCTTGTCAAAGAGTGCTCTGAAAGAATTCTACTTTCCATTCCATGGCAGTAATTCTGGAGTTACTATCCAGAAGTAAATAGCATTACTTTTAATTTGTGTTAATGGAGAAAGAATTTGGAGCAGATTATATCAGATTACATTTGACATCATTACATAACTATGACCAAATTAAATCTGAAAATCGATTTGTAATTGTTTGTACAAGGCATCCCTGCTGTAAGTCGCCCCGGTATACATCCATTCTGCACTAAAGTTGTTGACACTTGTAGGAACTGATTATAAGTCCTCCCATTCTGTCCTCTTATGTCGCGCAAAACCCCCACCAATTTGCACAAATGGAATTCACTACAGGGAAAAAATTCCCCACTTTAAATTATTTTGCTCTAAGTCCAAGTTTTGTGGAACCTATCTTGGACTTACAGCTAGGACGGCCTGTACAGGTAATTAATTGGGAGGTAAAAATTAACATTCTGCAACATTCTTCCCCCAGGACTTGGTAAAAGCCACAACTCTGCTTAATGTCACCAATTATAGGCATAATGAAGTAGGCACATGATGACCAGTTAGACAGAAATAATCAAGCAAGGAAAAAAAAATCATTGAGGTGCAAGTAGCATAAAAAGCAGTAAGTGAAACAAATATTTTACTCTTAATTTCTGAAAGGGGCTTGGCAAAACTAAATCTATTACTAGTACACACACATATTGATTTAAAAACAAATAAAGTACCTCTTTTTCCTCTGGACAATAGAGAGGCCCTGTAGGATGTAAAACAGCTTTCTGTGCATAATAGAATAGCTCAGATATATTCTTCAAGTTTTTAGCTGAACACTGAAAAAGAAGTCTTTAAATTAGTTAACACTTTTGACTATTTTACCACTTCTCTGGGTGTCTAAATAGAAGCTGAACTCTTGGGCTATATCTACACTACATGCTTCTTGCGCAAGAAGCCTTTTGCTCAAGCACTTTTGTGCAAAAACATCTTGCGTAAGAGCATGTCCACACCTCAAAGCACATCGCTTTTGCACAAAAGAGTGTCCATGCAGTGTGGACGCTCTTGCACAAGAAAGCTCTGATGGCCACTTACAGAATGGCCATCAGAGCACCTGTGCTTTCTCCCCATAGAAGCATCCACACTTGCCTTTTTGTGCAATAGCTGTAGCGCAAAAGGGAGTTATGCCTCGTAAAAGGAGGTTTACGTACACTGGCAAAAGCCCTCTGTTCTGCCGTTTAACTGCTGATTTACTTGCACAAATGCTCAATTGAGATGTGGATGCTCCACAGGTTTTTGCGCAAAAACCTTGCAGTGTAGACGTAGCCTAGGAAAAAATCTGGTCTGTTATAGAGGGCACTGTGCTCCTTTAGGGGAAAAAAAAAAAAGAGGTATTTGTGTTTGCAATGCCTAGTTCAATGGGGTCTGCAGGTCAGCTGCAGCCTCTTGGCACTACTAAGATACAAACAACAATACAATAATTTTGAATTGCTCTATCACTACTATTCTCTAAAAAGTTAAGTATAAGCTAGGCAGCAATGGGTACTTGCTATTCATTCACAATGGATTCCAAAATTTAGGAGCATACCTCTACGCAGGTTTCTATATCTGTGTATTGGTTCATAATGGGAAGAATAGTCTCCATACTGCTATATTCCACTAGATCAGATTTGTTTCCAACCAATATAAGAGGAAGCCTGAAAACATAAGATTTATCAGATGATATGTACGAGAAGGAGCTGAAGACATCTATTTCATTTGGTTACTTCCATTATTCCAGAGGAAATAAACAATTTGCTTTTATGTTGTTACTATAAATAACTAAACACCAATGGTAAAGCGCAAACAACAGTAAAATAGTTTGAGATATATAGGTTGAACCTCTCTAGTCCGGCACCCTCGGGACATTGACCAGTTCTGAATCAGAGAATTTTCCAGACCATGAGAGGTCAATATTGTCTAGCACAGAGGTGTACAACCTTTCAAAAGTGGCGTGCCAAGATTTAATTTATTCATGGATCTGTGTGGTGGGGGAGGAGAGGACAGAGGTAGGCTGGGTATGGTGACCATATTATCTGAATCAGCTGCAGGTAGGGAGAATGGTTTAATTTAAATTATTAAACAGATTAAACATTTTAACATTCTCATGTTAGTTTATCAAATTTCATTTAAATAAAGTAAAATATTATTTCCAACACAAAAAGGTTTCAATGTTTTCTTTATTTATGGTAGGGATGAGGGTCACTGACCCACAGAAAAATCAGTTGGAGACCACACAAGTGAGAAGCCTCTGGCCAGCCCCACTTCCTCCAACCCCCTCCCGGGCAGCCAGTTCTCCCGTGCTTCTCCTCCCAATCTCCCTTGGCCAGCCCTGCTGCCCATGTCCAGCCCTCCTTCCGGCGGCCGCTTCTCCTCCCCCCCCCCCCCCCCCCCCCTCCCCCGCGTCATCACAAAGGCT